CACCATCATCACCATCACCATCACCACCACCATCACAGTTAACACTATTGTGATCACCATGTGGAGCAGCAAATGGAGACTTGGAAGCTGCCGGTGACTAGCTCAGATTCTCAGCGTCACTCAGCATAAAACTGAGAAAGAATCCCAGTGGGAACCGGCTACCGTATTCCGTGAAATGAAAGGCGTCGGGTAAAAGTAACTTATCCTGTTCTGGTTGCAGAACTCAGGCGGCCGACAGAGCTGCCTGGCGCCTGAGGCAGCGGCTGAAAAAGTGGACTGTGTCCAGAAACTCCCTCTGCACCTGACAGCACATTAGGTTTGTGGCCACTTGATCCGCTGCCTGGGGCCTGCGCTGTCTGAGCTGTGACATCTGCATTCATTAGGAAGGGACCAGGACAGCGGCGCCGAGTGTGCTGACTGGCACCTTTCCTCCCAAAGCTCTCCCCGTCCTTAACAGGTTCATCCAAAGCTCATTTCCGAAGGCCACCAAGCCGCCGCCAGGTAATAGACACGGAGGAAAGCGACAGAGGAATTGTCCCCAGCGTTCTTTGTTGAGACTCTTCAATGCCCATTTAATTTTCCCTGCGGCCCCAGCGCACAGCTCTGCTGAGCTGTTGAGCACACGGGCCTTGCAGAATGAGACATTTCTGAGTCTGAATGCCAACTCCTCCTTGCATAGAAACAGAGATAAAAACGCCCCCCTCCCTGGGCTGCTGGGTGTGAAGGTCAAAGAGAAAAGGCCGTCCTTTGCACAGCACAGCTCTTAAGCACAGCGGTGCTTTTGTACAAAGCTCTTCGTCCTTATGAAATGAAAGCAGTCTTAGGGAACAGTCCGTGTGCCCAGGCTCTGCCTCACGGGCCAGGACACACGAGCCCGGGGTGCTGTTTTCTCGTCCTCAACTGGACGTCCTACCTCCTCAAGACGGTCATACGGCAGCACGGCGCCCATTGGAAACCAACAGTGTGCATCTGCCTCGTGTGCTTTGACCCTGCACGCTGTCTCGTGTGTGTCAACGCTGCATCTTAGCTTTGTGCGTTCTGAACAAATGCAGTCGCTTCGAGAAGCGATGCCAGGTCTGCGCTGAAAGCAGCCTTTTCTGCAGGGTGGTCTGCAGCCATCCTGCCTCCCTCCACTCTGGTCCTGGTGACCTGGAACCTGACGGACTTTTAAAATTCCTCTTTTTATTCTTATT